CAGCCTCCACCTGAGGACCCGGCCGTGGTCCAGAGGAGGGGACAGCTGAACCCCAGAAAGTTGCTTTGTGTGGATTTTCAAACAGGGCCTCAACCTCTCAGGGATTCTCCTGCCTCAGCCTCCAGAGTACTGGTAGGAGGAGGGGAGGACCCGGGTTGAGGCGGTGTCCACAGTGGGCACGGTGTCCACAGTGGCCTCTGGTGTCCAGAGGGGCCAGAAGCCAACAGAGCCAGCCAGGCCTCTCCTGCACCACCCACCGTACACAGAGCCCATGCCTTGTACCAAGTCACCATGGAGCCGGAGGGCCAGAGCCAAGATGGGACAGGCCTGCCCTCTCCGGCTGACCAGTGTCCTTTCTGGAAAGAGGGCAAGGAGGCAGAGAATGTCAGCTTTTTCTGGGAAAACAACCTTCCAGAAGATGCTGAAAGTCACTGCTCCATCTGCACCGAAGCTTCTTGGTGCTAAGGCTCTAGCTGTGACCCCAGCACATGGAGGCTGAAGCAGGAGGACCTCCCCAAGTTTGAAGCCTCCCTGGGCTACATAGTACGTTGAAACCACACGGCGAGACCGTCTCAAAAAAAAAGGAAAGAAGGAAAGAAAAGAGCAGCACAGAAGTCAGGCAGGTGGGGATGTCGGGGCAGCTTCTGTGATCCCCGGCGAGAGGACAGGGCCAGCGGCACTGGCTGAGGCCCAGGTGTCGTGGCAGAAGCCCATCCAGGACTGCAGGACCCTGCCACCCTGGGCACAGCACAGCAAGACGTGAGGACTCCCAATGGCTTCCAGAGCAGAGCTGCCCAGCTCTGAGCTGGCAAGGGCCCTGCTGAGGACATCACCTGTCCCCTGCCACCATGCAAGCCTGGCCAGCTGAGTGTCTGATGATCACACTCAGAGCGCACTGCACTGCAGTGACTGCACCCAGGGACGCAGGGTCCCCTCACTGGGCTGCAGGAGCCACGGGGACTGGGCTGGGTCACTTGGTTGCTCTGCTAACGGCCACTCCTAGTCAGGCCGGCTCCCAGCTCCCTCAGAGGGGGGACAGAAGCCCTCAGCACACAGCTCCTCATGCCACCACACGAAAATGTGCATTTTAGGCACCTTTTGGTTTTGTTTTGCTTTGCTTTGTTGAGATAGGGTCTCCATGGAGTTCAGGTTGGCCTTGAACTCACAGGGACTCTCCTGCCTCAGCCTCCCAAGTGTTGTGATCACAGGCATGGCCACCACATCCAGATGAGCCTTCTCTGGGGTCTTCACTCTGGTTGCCAGAAACACAGTGAGGCCTGTCCACTGCTGAGCAGCCCAGCCTAGCCGCACCCAGGGGACCGGTCACCAGGGCACACTCAGGGAGCCACCCCCAGGGCAAAGTCAAAACTTAGAAATGGAGACACAGCTCAGTGCAAAGGTCCTGGGTTCAATCCCCAGGACTGCAAAATAAGAGAAAAAGACAAGACTGCTCCAAAACTATTCTGTTTGTTTGTTTCGTATTGTTTTGTGTTTTGAGACAGGGTTTCCCTATGTAACCCAGACTGGTCTTGAACTTTTGGAGATGCTCCTGCCTCAGCCTCCTGAGTAATGGGCTCACAGGTACCCCACCTTGCTTGGCTGTTTAGTAACCTGACTCACATTCATATCATTGGCCCTGCAAGGGGTCAAAATTCTTTTCATGTACAGAAAACACAAAGCCACTGAAATTCCACTCTGCACCCGCACGTGTTCCAAAAACAGCCATCGAGCTTGTGAAGAAGCAGACTCAGGCCTGGCTCACTATTTACCTTGGCCAGGGTCAGCCCGGCCCACACAGCCACGGCCATAAATCGGGCCCTGGACCGTGTCGCATAGTTGGTAATGGCCAGGGCAGGCCCCACCATATGGCTGTGACCATTCGTCACGGCCACGCAGATGGCGCAACCTCCACACGGTGCTCCAGGTTTATGGACCTCGGGTCCGAGCGCAGGGAAGCCAGCAGGGTGCAGTCTGGCCGCCCCGGAACCCGGACACCGGGCCAGGGGGCGCTGCCACTGTAGCTCTCGGCAATGCACACAGAAGGATTTGAAAGGAGAAGCCTGCAGGGACGGCAGGCAGGAGGCCGAGGCAGGAGGAGCTCAGGCCAGCCTGGCTGCAGCTAAGTCTTCGTCACATGGAACGGGACAGGACCAGACCTCTGGAGCTGCCCCCAGCTGGACGAGGTTCTGCTCCCAGAAAGTATCTGTCCTCAGGGGCCTGTGGCCCTGGACCTGAGCCAGCGCCCGGCTCAGCCTTGGTCCAGCCAGGCCTGTCCACAGGCAGGCGCTTCCGAGGGGCTGGGCCAGGGCACATGACACTGGGACGGAGTCACCTGCAGGGCTGGGACTTGGTGAGGTTAAAGGCGAGCCATGGTCATGCGGTCCACCTCAGAGCCAGGACCAGAACTGGCTCTCATGCCATACCGTGAGTGTGTGATCTGAGTCAACTGGGCAAGAGCAGAGTCATGTGGACACCGCTGTCCACTCCATCCCAATGCTGAAGCCATCCAGGCCACAGGACTGATGCTAAGACCCTTCCCACATGGGCACCTTCCTACCCTGTCCTCTCAGGAGAGGACAAGGTGCTCCCGGGATCCCATGTCTCACCTGGCCACACCCCGAGCCAGGGGACAGGACAGGGCCCTGCTTCAAGGCTGCCCTGCCACACAGGACAGGGACAGCACATCCTGTCCCATGGGGCCCCGCTGCCACCACAGAGTCAGAGCTGTGCCTGGGCCTTGCCCAAGAGCCCGACTCAGGAGGCGGAGGCAAGAGGGTCCCTGCCGGGGCCGCACAACAAAACACTGTGTGGAAAACCAGCCAAGGAACCAAAGTGTGCATAGTTCCGACGGGCTGCGGGTCACCCCAGCCAGGGACACTGACCGCAGCGGCCTGGCCGACAGCTGGAGAGCACTCAGGGACTGTGGGACCACAACACAGAGGGGCAGGGAGCTCCTCCTCCTCCTCTGCTCTGTGTTAGAACAGAGGGGGGGTGGCACACGCACGCAGAGGGGGGCTGGCACATGCATGCACACAATACACACCACACACACCACCCGAACCTCATAAACCTCACACCTCACACCACACACCGCACCATACCTGGATCCCTTCTGCTTCCCCTCCCTTTTCTCACCCGCTCACTCTCCATCCAGAAGACTGCTCTTCTTCCCAGCTCGGTAACGACTGTCTTCCCCTCTCCTATCATGTCTTTTATCTTGCTTTTTCAATTATTTTTTTCTCTACATTTCTCATAGAAGAGAACCATATAATACCAATGCTATTTCACATTTATCTCACATAATGTCAAGAAGGTGCATCTGCTTTCCTACTAATGGCTGTAGCCCATCCTTCTTCAAGGGTGTATAGTACTCCATAATGTGTAATTACCCTGCACCTGGTTAAAACCAGTAGGAAACCCAGGTGGCTCTCTCAGTCTTCTAGGTCACATCTACTCCTACTGACTTAGGCAGACTCTCCTCACCTGAGAAAGACTCTGTGATACATATTCTTGACTTCTGAGGGAAAAAAAAATTCCAAAGAAAAAACTGTCCTATTCACAATAGCTCACATGGTAAATACTGAAATCCAGACATTAGAATTATTTGCAACTAACTGGAAATTCTGCCCTGGTAATTAAATACCACCCTGGTCAACTTCTAGCAACAAGCCAAGTTGGTGGCACACACCTGTGATCCCAGCGCGTGGGAGGCTGAGGCAGGAGGATCACCCCATGTTCAAAGTCAGCCTGAGCTACATAGTGAGCCCTGTGTCAGAAAACCAAAATTGGGGCCGGGGATTTAGCTCAGCGGCATAAGTACCTGCCTGGCAACTGCAAGGTTGCAAGTTTGATCCCCGGTACCAAAAAAAAACACCCAAATCAAACAAACAAAAACTTTCTAGCAACAAAAGAGCATACAGGCAACAGATCACAGAAGAAACTGGTCCGTCCCTCCTCCAACACTGCAGGGACCGACAGGGCTACACTCACCGCCACACCTGACAGCAGCGGCTGTGCAAGTGGCTCCCACACTCCAGTTGGGACACACAGGAGGCGCTCAGCAACACTCGCTAAGTGAATTCCCCACTCACACGCCATCTGGTTCCCCGAGTGTTTTCCACTTGCAGGGCTCCTATTAAGTGACCATCGCATTGTCTCATCAGTCAAGATGGTTGCATTGCTGGCTCCTCTGACCCCACTGAAGAGCAGATTTGTGCTGGGGCGTGGGGACCACTGGAGGCTGCATCCTGTGCTCCAGGTGAGTGACCTGGGGTGACCATGTGCAGCACAGGTCCCCCTGTCGCCCCTGATTGATGGGCTTTGAAGTTTTGTTGTAGTTTCCTCCTCCTCCTCCTCTTCCTCCTCGAAATACAATGAATTTGGAAAAAATTTTACAAAACAAAAACGAACATAGAAAAACGGACCTTTTGCCCAGCATCTGAGTTTGACAGGAACTGCACAGCCCACGCTGAAGTGGCCATGAAGCAAGTATGCTTCTGCAGTGCGCCCTCAGGTTCCGGCACGGCCCGTTCTGAGAGCTTCCACAGGTGATACTTCCTCACTGTAGTAATAAATTCATGTTTATTTATTTCTGGCTTTTTGAGACAGGGTCTTCAGGCCAGCCTTGAGCCCACTTTGTAGCCTGGGCTTGTCTTGAACTTGCTAGATCCTCCTGCTTCAGCCTCCCGAGTACCCTAGCAATAAATACAGTAACCTGTTTATCCAAAGGAAATGTCTCAGCCACGAGCAAAGCATTCGCCTCCGCCAAGGACACCACTCATTTGCACCACATGTTAGACTTCTGCAAACATCACATTCCCCCCACCCCCCACCCCGGCTCTCTGCTGGACCGAGGGCAGCGTCACAGTACCCAAAGCTTCCAGAATCTGTCCAGGGTGTTGGGCCTTGTGTGTGTAGGCGGGGAGCCCGCAGGTCGGACTCCTCCTGTCTCTTATCACAATGTTTTCCGTGATGATCTGGAGAGATTAGAAATTTCCTACCTCACAAATGTTTGGTCAGCAGCAAGCCTGAGGTCCAGCCTGGGTCCCTCCCGGCCCCCGCGCACCTTGGGGTCCAGCGATTAGCACAGCTTCCTGGGGAGGCCGCGCCCACACAGCCGCATGGTCCCATGCAATTAAAATTGCTCCAGTCAGCAAAAATAATTCTGCCCTGTAATGAAATAATGAAATAATTACATGCAAGGGAGGACTCGTGATCTTTTTAATTATTCTGTTCTCCATTTTTAAGAGGGCTATCTGAAAATGTACTCTTATAATTGATTGCCATAAATCAGTCAAACTCATTCGAAGGATCATAAATATTCTAACTTTTAAAAGACAAAGAAATGCTAAATATTCAATGGAATACTTCACTATCCCGAGAATTTAATCTGGGGCAAAAGGGGAGACTGCTCTTTGGAAAATAAAAAGTAAATTTGTTGTCCCGTGAAAAATGAAAGATCTTGAATGTCAGTCGCAGAGACGGAATTAACAGGAGAGCTTTTTATTGTTTTTTAAGGTCATTAGGCTGTGAATTCTGTAATTATGGAAATCGTGCGTCCACTTCTGCGGGAAAGTTTGCCGCCATCCATAAGGTAGCGCTGCTCAATCTGTGTCTCCCGTGGGAAAGTGAGGTCATAACTATAAGTGGACCCGCAAGATTGAATTAAGCAAAGAGATTTCATTAGTACTTATGGCCAGAAGGCATCCGCAGAGGCACAGGGCAAAGGAGTTATGTGGAAGTCAAAGGAGAATAAAGAATGGGTTTCCGCGGCACAGCCACGGTGTGAGAGCTGGGAGCGGCCAGGCTGGCCAGCCAGGGGCCGCAGGGGCCGGAGCCCAGGGCAGAGCCCGGCTGTGGACGCCTGGCTTGCTGTCCCCCGGCTGCAGCAACGTGCGTGGCTGGATTAAAAGTGCAATGTGAATGGTGAGAGCTGTAATGACCCGGCCCGGAGGCCGAGAGCCGGGCGACTCCCAGCCAAGGAGCCCACAGGTGAAGCAGAGGCCACGTTCCCCAGAGACCAAGGCCCGGCTCTGTCCGGTGATTCCTGAGCGTCCAGCTGCCTCCAGCCTGGTCTCTGCTGCCTTGCTTTCCTGAAGATGCTGCTGGTTTGCTTTGCTTTGCTTTGGGATGTCACTATCTATCTAGTCCAGGCTGGCCTGGAGCTCAGGAAGCTTGTCCTGCCTCAGCCTCCTGAGTGCCGGCATGACAGGCGTACACTACCACACCCCGCTTACTGAAGATTCTTAAGCCGTATATCCAACCTTGAAAGTACAGCCATGGTTATCTTTTCAGTATGATTTTAATGAATCTAATGAGTACAAAACTGAGAAGAAAAATCTGACTTAACACTTGAAATATTTCCTACAATGTTTTTACCACTAAAGCTCCAGAAAGAAGGCATCCCTGTTTTAAAATCTTCAGACGCAGATATCTGAATTATAAGATTGCAGATGGGAACAAGTGAGTCATCAGGATAGGACGGGCATTAAAGTACTTTTCATAGGTTTTGATGGGTATTTTACAGGATCTCACTTGACCCTCCTGCCTCAGCCTCCTGAGTGCACTACCATCTCAGGCCAAGTCCGCAGCCCAGAACTGTAGCCCAGCACAGCCCTCAGTGCCCCGAGCTCCAGTCTCTGACTTTCGACCCCCACCACCCCCGTGCCAGCTGCAGGTGCACCTGGGAGATGCAGCTGCACCTCCCATGGGGATGGCGGGATGGCAGGACGGTGGCCATGGAGTTGCTAGACGTGGAAACAACATGCAGTACATTAGGGGCTCAGCCCAGCCTGAGGGCTACGCTCTCTGGAATCGTTCCCGGATCTGGGCACTGCCTGGCAATACCTGGAGGCTAAGGCAGGAGGATACCAAGTTCCAGTCCAACCTGAGTAACTTCACCAGATGTTAGACTGCAGAGAAACATAGGGCGGGGAGTGTGCAAAGGCCCAGGGTTCCCCTTGGCCGGGGAGAGCTGGGGGGACCCTAGGCCCATCCTCCAAATCTGAGGCTCCTTCACCAGCCAGCTCAGGACAAACCTGTTACCAGATAGCAGAGACTGGAAATCAAACACCCCAAGTCCTGACCCTGTTACCCAGACACCCTTGGACGGGAACTGAGTCCTCCACGCTATCTGGACAGCTACTCACCGATAGACAATCACAGCTTGCCATCTGAGGCCCCGCCTGGCATTTGAAAACCAGAAGCAGGACCAGACACGACAGTGATTCCATGGGGAACGCGGGTCACCCGGCTGGAAGCGGGTGGTCTCCCCGACTCCACGTGGGCAGGGGCTGGAGGACAAGACTGAGGAGCGCAAATCCGGACACTCGGCCACAAATTTAAAGGGAAAAAACCCCAGCTGGGCAGGGATGGCACACATCTGTGATCCCAGCACTCAGAAGGCTGAGGCAGGAGGATCCCTGCAGGTTCAAGGCCAGCCTGGGCTGCATAACAAAACCCTATCTAAAAAAAAAAAAAAAAACCAACAACAACAACAATCCAGGGCCAGGGCCACCTCTGTGCCCGTGGACAGAGGGCTGGGTGCTACTTTCAGACCCTGCTTGGGCTGACCAGTGTGACTTAAGCCAGTGGCTGCCCAGACATCAGGAAGCAAAAGCGGCAGAAAGAACCTCAAGGCTGACAAGCACCTAGCACCCCACCGGCCAAGCCCAGCGCCAGCACTGCGTTTCCTCCCCTGCCCGCTCTCCCTGGGCCCTCATCCCAGGTCCTTTGCCTTCGCCCACCCCACAGCGTGACTGCCCTGGAGCTGGACAGGAATCACACATCTGACCCCAGCTGCTGGACACCCAAGTGCTGCTCCTGGATGAGGGGGCTGGCACCCCAGGGGTTCTCTCCTCGTGGCCTTGGCCTCCTTTCTGAGCAGTCTGTTTGTCCATCTTGAAACAGAGTCTCAGTCAGTGGCCCAGGCCGAGCTTGAACATGCAGTCCTCCGCCTCAGCCTCCCAGCAGGCCATCTTACAGGGTCCAGCCACAAACTCAGCATGGAGGCCACTTTTTTAAAAGTTTGAAGAGTGTCTCAGAGCAGGGGTCCTGCTGGGGGGGGGGGCTCCACAGCAAAGCGCAGCACAGCTTGGGCTATGAAGGCTGGAAGCAGAGGGGCCACTGGGACCAGCAGATGCCCCGGGGCCCTCAGCAGCACCCACAGGAACTCCTCAGACTGGGGAACACAGCTGTGTCCTGGCTGTGGCCTGGGCTGAAAGTGTGACCATCCAGGCCGGAGTGCAGCCACCCTGAAGGCCAGGGGTGGGGATGCCTGTCGTCCCAGCACTCCGGAGACTGAGGCAGGAGGATGCAAAATTAATGCCCAGCCTGGGCAGTCCAGGGACTCAGATCCTGCCTCCAAATAAAAACTAAGAACAGGGCCGGGCTGCAGCTCAGTGTGGAGACCCGAGCTCAGTCCCGAGCTGAAAACACATGTAGTGTAATAAATACAGACATCCTGCCATGGAGTGTCACTTGTGACTTTGTCCCTCTTCTTCCTCGGTGTTTGGTTGGTTTTTGGTTTCTGAGACAGCGTCTCACACAGTGCAGGCTGGCCTTGAACTCACTGTGTAGCCCACGCTGGCCTCCAACTGGCAGTAATTCTCCTGCCTCGGCCTGTCCAGTGCTGAAATGACAAGCCTGCACCATCACAGCCAGCTAAGGAAAACCTTAATTCCTGTCTGTGCAAAGCCTGGGTCATTATAAAAAATACACATGTACATTTTTAAAATCATTAAATTATGTACAAAATAAATATATGGTTGATAGTATTGAAAAGCAGCTAAAATGTATTCAAGTGCCTTAGCGGGGTTCCTATTTCACTTCGTTGCTAGACAGGGTCATGTTTGAACTTGGTATGGAGCCAAGACTCCTTACATGCTCCTCCTCCCTCCCTGCCTCAATCTCCTGAGTGCTAGGATTACAGATGTGCACCACCACGCCCAGCTTCAACATTCTTTGAACATTCTAATGGAAACGGATTTGTTTATTTATTTTAGTTTTTTGAGACAGGGTCTCACTATGTAGCCCAAGCTGGCCTCGAATCTGCAAGGATCCTCCTGCCTCAGCCTCCTGAGTATAGCAGTTATTAATCAACTAAATGTTGTTTTTCTTTTGGTTCCTTAGCACTTAAAATCAGAATTGTTTCAAATAAAGATCAGAAAGAGCATCGCTGCAGTCATGATGACAAACATATTTCAACTTATCCAACAAAAGCAGGGCGCTGAGGGCCGCAACCAAGGGCTGCAAATCTCATGCTTTCCTGTCATCCTTGAGGGGACACCTGTCCCGCTGTGTTGGGACAGGGCGGCTCTGACCCCTCAGACTACAGTTGGCCCCACAGCACGATTCACTGTGTGTGGACTACATGGTCACTCAGCGCGACCTAACATCCTGTGAGTGCTGCTTCCAAAGCTGGTGCTGGCTTGGGGCTCCAGCTCCAGAACCCAGCCCAGGGCAGCACAGGTCCTGACCCAGCGGGGCAGCCAGACAGCTGAGCTACGGCCCCATGCTGGTTCCAGAGGGACTGAACACAGCCACAAGGTTTTACCTGCATACCTGTCATTCAGGACTCAGGAGGCCGAGGCATAAGGATCACTTCCAGTTTGAGGCCAGCCTAAGCCAAATCAGGAGACTCTATTCAAAAATTAAAAACATAGACAGTCTCCTTGTACCTTCCAGACAGAGGTACCTTGCTTTGAAAAGAGAATTTCAAAGTCCTGGATGGTTCTGTCAGGAAGGGTGATTTCTGTGCACACCCACTTTTTAGCTGTTTTAACCTTCGCTAATGCTGTCTACCTGACCTGGGTGGCCCCTGGGTGTGGACTTTGCTCAGAACCATTCAGTCACCCATGCTAGGCAGAAAGGGGTGCAGAGGGCAGAGCCACAGAGAGAAACAGAAATCTGGGGCCCAGCGGTCAGTGGTGAAAGCCAGAAAGTCCATGCCAGCGGGGTGAAGGAGCTGTGCTGGTGGGATGGGGGTTCTACACTGGAGCCAAGAAGTCACACAAGACCAGGGCTGTGCTGAAAAGCACCACAGCCATCCTCAGTGACACAGAGGTCTCGAGCTCCTCCAACAATAACAGTCGAGTACATGCTAGGAAGCCAGCATGACAAGTGCTTCTCCTGGAGATTAAACACCTCACACCTTCCCCTCTGGAGCCAGGAAGTGATGCTCCATGAAAGGACCAGAGCTCTCCACAGTGAACCACAGCACTCTTACCAACAAGGTCCCGAGCTCCTCCGATGACAATGGTCGAACTCACACTGGGGAAGCCTACATGACGAGCTCCTCCAGGAGAACCAACGGCTAAAACAGCAACACTTAGAGAAACCCACAACATCCAGCTGTCCTTCTCCATGTCTCTATTTATGCCGGTAACTTCCCTCAGGTGGGACACTCGGCACCGTGCTGATTTAATCCAGCTGGCGTTAAGCTGACCAGAGTTTTAATCCATAACAGAGCGGGGCAGATAGACAGGCCTTCCTCACCAGGTGCAGACTCTCCCTGAGCTCCAGGACACTGCTGTACCCCGGCCCACACCCCAACTTTTACCCTGTCTGAGCTTTGTGTTCCACATGCTTCCAAGCAGGAATCCACAGGGATGTGGGAACCCCAAACAACAAACGTTGCGCTTCAGGACTGGCAGCACAGGGGGACCTTATTTTAATGAAGACTACATATTTAAGATGTGTGATGTCTTTCTTTTGATGGTGACCTGGATATTTTCAAATAGAAAACTATTGAAGAAAATATACACATGAATTTTATTTATTTACTTATTTTTGGGTTTTTGAGACAGGGTCTCACCATGCAGCCCAGTCTGGTCTTGAATTTGCAGTGACCCTCCTGCCTCAGCCTCTAAGTGCTGGGTTGACAGGCATGCTTGAGAGGGTGTTAAAATGCCAAATCATGCTAAAGGAAGACAGGATGGTTAACGCGTTCTAATTCACTGAATACTGAAATTTGATCTCATGTGTAGTTTACTCTAAGGAAGACCCTCTCATGGTTTGTAAGGGACCAGTGTGTGTGTTTATTTAAGACAGGGTCTTGCTATGTGGCTCGACTGGCCTTGAACTCATTGAGTAGCCCCAGATGGCCTGGACCTCATGGTGATCACTGAGTCCAGAGAGTGCCCCAGGCTGTGAGCCACTGTGCAGTCCTCACTGTCACCGAAGGGCAGGCCCAAGGTTCCTGTCCCTGAGCCTCAGTCCCCAGGTCATTCTGCTGGCCCAACACTTGTCTGGGAGCATGGAGTCCCCTGCTCCAAGGCTTCTGTTGGGGGCCGCCCAGCACCCCCTTCCTGGGCTTGGGCTGTGTGTCTTTCCTAAGGGGTCTCTCACCCCTTCCCCACCAAGCCCCGAGGGCCACAGGGCCACAGCCCTGTCCCCAGCCCGGGCCTCTGGGTCACCCTGGATGAAAGTGCAGCGAGGGTGCTGGCTCCCAGCGCACTGTGCTCCCCACCAGCAGCCTGGGTAGGAGCCCCGCTCTAGCTCAGTGTCAGCCTCAGGCCCTGCTCCCTCCCACCCCCAGCTGGCCAGGGCTGGCATCACCATTCAGATGCGAATCCGTGGTCTCCTGCCGCTTATTTGTTCTTCCTTTCCAAGCATCATTGCTTGACTTAGAGAACAGCTTTAAGTCTCAAATGTGGTCTTGGCTTGCCTGTGATGGGGCCTAGGAACTTCCCTGCTGTCTCGGCCTCTGTGGCGCCACAGGGTGCGGCCAGGGCTCCCTGCCTTCTGATAGCGAGTGGACCTCTTAGAACCGCTTGCTCCAGGACGGGAGAACTGTGAATTGTAGAAAACTGCAAACTTACCCAGGTCTTTGTTTCATATCGCCATGACTGTTGTTTATCTGTGTTTTGCCTTTTGTGTTTCTGAAGCAGGGTCTCACCAGGCAGCCCAGGCTGGCTTTGAACCTGTGGCAATGCCCCTGCCTCGGCCTCCTGAGTGCTGGGTCACCACGCCCAGTTATGGCTGTTTAGAAAGCTGGACTCTGCATAACACTCAGCACAGCCCAGTTTCATAACCGTGCTCTAGCTGTCAGCTCCCCGGTCCCAGCCAAAGGCAGGAGATGCCCGTAGAGCCTGCCGACTGCTTCCACTGCACTGCCTAGTACAGGCTTGGGGGTGCACTCCGTACCAAGGCCTCCAGTCCAGCCCTAGGGGACAGGGTGCTGAGGAGAGGTGAGGAGCCCTTCCAGACAGAAAGGGATGAGTGGGTGAGGCCAGGGAGCTCCGGGGCGGTGACAGCTCCGCATGTGGCTACCACAGTGCCGGTGCGCCCAATCCACCGAACCCCAAGGGCAGCATGTTTATCGGGGTGCCAGGCATGTGTGAGGAGAGAGCCACAGAGATGCTCCAGAAAGCAAAGTCTTCTTATAAACTGCCTTCCCGCTGGAGCATGGTGGCACATGCCCACCATCCCAGCACTCAGGAGGCTGAGGCAAGAGGATGCCTTACATTCTCAGGAACTACATGGTGAGACCCTGTCTCAAAATCAAACAAACAAACAAACATTGCTTTTCCATTTTCCAAGCCATAAAATGTCAATCTGAACATAATGTGGGGAGGAAAGAAGTGCTTAAGTAAGAACAGGGGTGCAGACCTGGCATGAGGAGGTTCTGAGCGCCAAGGCCCCAGCGGTCCTGACACAGCACACGAGGCAGGTGTCTCTCCTGTGTGCACAAGGTCACACATGTGTACACACGCCTGCACCATCAAATGCATTTCTCATCCTCGGCCCTGGCGCGGCCCCGGAAGAACTCACTGGTTTACAAACCCAGAGCGCAGGTCACAGTGGAGCCCACTGGCCATCACAAACGGACGGAGCTCTGAGCCCTGAAGCCAGAGAGGGAAAATCATAACGGGAGAGATTCACTTCCTGCCCAGACAGCCGAGGCTCACTCCTAACAAACTTCTCAGCCTCCAGATGAGACCGCAGACATTCGGTTCGGAGTAAAACCTCCATTCCAGGTCCCATCAGCACTGCCAGGCCAGCAAGCGGCCCTGGAGTTCGGGAGACCGTTTCCTGGGAGCCAGGTGGACTCAGGGCGGACCCAGGCCACCTACCCTGGCAGTCAGTAAACCGGTTTCCCAGCCTGAGGAGTCTTCATTCTGAGCTGAAAATTATTTGCAGCATCTTATAAATATTACTTGAAATAGGGGCCCTTGGATCAGGAGCCATTTTCTTAGGATATTAATCCCCGTCCTTTGAGTGTTATTTATTTACATGGCTTTAAAAGCAATTAAGACATTTAGGGAACACATCACACCCCAATTGATGGCGTCCTGCTCTGGACTATCTATCACTCAAAGGTTTACCCCGGCCCTCTGCCTCGCAGCGAGATAAATATTCTAGGAGCAGAGAGGCATATTTCCTTTCTGTCCGGCTTTTTAGAATTCATTTAAACATGTTCAGTGAAATTTCCCGCCGTGTAATATTTTAGCAAGATTCACTAAATATATACTGCTCGCAGACTGTAAACACTGCATGACAAGATTGCTAACATGTTTTCTTCCCTAGGCAAACAATACCCCAGCCAAAATAGCCTGGGCAAACAACTCCAGCGGTATGTAAATTAGATCAGCATAACAAAAGCACGGCCCAGGCTGTTTTCTGTGCCTTCCGAGTAAGTCACTGTGAATATGCAGAGGCTGGCTGCTGGGGTCAGGGCCGCAGGGGAGCCGGGCTCTCCCTTCCGCAGGGCCACAGGGCCAGGGTGACCTCCCACCTGAGCACCATTCTTTGTAAACAGGACCTGAGCGGGCCACAAAGAAAACATTTTCCTCTTTAAACACCGTATTAAAAGAGAAAAGAAAAGAAACATTAAAATGCTTAAAGGGATCCAAAGACTTACAGACCCACAAGGTCACCAGAGACAGGAGATCCCTCCGGGGCCAGATGGGGGTCCACGCTGTGTGAGTCCCTGGTCCCCGGGGAGGCAGTGAGGCGCTGGGCAAGAGGCCCCCTCCCCCACCCCAGCCAGCGGGTGAGGTCCCCCACTTCCGGTCTCCACCGTGGCTTAGGGTAGAACACAGTGGAGACAAGGATAAAAATGAGAAGAGGGTGGCACCCCATTAGCAGCTGATTACTGGCAGGGGTGGGTGAGAGGTTTTACTCCGGTGTAGCTGCCCAACCCGGGCCAAGTAACCCAGTCTCCCTGGAACCAGCTAGTTAAGAACCGGAAGAAAAAACAGATTATTCTGTGCAGTTATTGTTCCCATTAACGTGGTTTGGGTTTGTTTGTTTTTGAGACAGGGCCAGGCTGGCCTGGATCTTGCTGTGTTTCTCTTGCCTCAACCTCCTAAACGCTGGCTGGGATCACAGGCACCCACCACCAAGCCCAGTTTAACCACGTGTGCCCCATTAACTGCTTGCTTCAGTCTTCACCTGAGCCCGCCTAAAAGCAACAAGAAAAGCACACAGACATGGCCAGAGGTCATGCCTGTGATCCTAGCGCTCAGGAGGCTGAGGCAGGAGGATCTCCATGTGTTGGAGGCCAGCCTGAGCTACAGCGAGACCTGTCAAATAACAAAACAGCATGCCGACTGCCAACTGGCTTCCCCTCCCAATCTCTGCTCACAAGCAGCAGCCGGTCTTAAAAGAGAAGATGTGTTTTTCCATCGCCAATTAACTCAGCTGTGTCACAAGAAGCCCACACGCTTCCCCTCTTCAGAGCCACCAAGGACCACAGGGCTGTTGACATCTGGGACCAGAGCCGATTCCCCCTGCAGCCCCTCCTCAGTAAAGGGCAGCGGTCACAAAATGCTGAGCAATCCTCGCCTGTCACCTCAGCAGAAAGGTGTCCTGGGCCCAGAGTGGGGCCCCTCTCACTGGGTTAGCCCTACAGGCTGCACCCTCTGGGACCAGAATGGGATTCACGTCCATAAAAGGGGCTTGGCCTGGGAGGACAGAGAAACTAGAGTCCCACAGGTGGAATAGAACATGGGGGGCGTGGTGGCACATGCCTGTGATCCCAGCACATGGGAGGCTGAGGCAGGAGGGTTTCTGTGAGGTCAAAGCCAGCCTGGACTACATAGCAGAACCTGCAATGCTGGAATGTCACAAGGACACCACGCTGTCCCAGGGCTCAACGGACACTGAGGCCTTCTGCTAACAGCCGCAAAGGCACCCACCCCAGCCACGGACACACAGGCCCTGGAGAGGGCGGCAGCCGCCTGTCCAGCACGGCCACAGGACAAGCTCACGGGAAGGTGATCAGCACTGTGACGACAACAGCAACATTCACAGCCTCAGAGCTTGAGGCCAGGCTAGGCTGCAGAGCAAGACTCCACTGAAACAGACAGACAGAAGCCTATGGATCAATAACCGGGGTAAAAGTAAGA